CCCGCCCCACCGCCGCCGCGGGCAGCAGAGGGATGCTTTGCCGTTACTGCTGCTTGTTTCAAAAAGTTTTTCGGACAGAGAAGAACGCTGCTGCTACGCCAGGCTGGCTCACGTGTGAGCAGGGCGGCGGGCGGCGGGGCGAATGCCTCCCTGGCGGGTACACGGCGGCGGCGGGGTACACGGACCCGCCGCGGAACAAATGCGAGAGCAGAAAGAGAGAAGCTAAAGCGGACAGGCGCAACAACGGCGGCCCGAGATAGTAGGGCTATGTGGTGGTGGTCCAATTCAACTGTAACACCAGGACCTATGGAGAGTATTCGCTCCCAGGGCCAGGACGATCCTCCAAGGTGGCTGACTCACGCCGCGCACACTATCATAGCACTGCTGTGCAGCATGCAATCGTGCGGGCGGGTTGCCTACACTGTGAATCAGGGGTGTCCAGTCCAGCCATAGTGCGACTTCAGTTGCACGACGCTAGAACCTGTGCGACTTAAGTCACACTATCGCTCGACACCTGGTGTTTTTGCCACCCTCCCTACCCCAGATTTACAACCAATTTTTAACCAATTTAGCAGGATTTAATGACACACTCGGCTCGGCTCAGAGGGATTGGTGGGGGAAGGGGAGGGAGACGACTCTCCGCCACTCTGTTTAGAGCCTAGTCCCTGGTCTCACCATAAGCTTTTTTACACCCAGAAAATGGTATCCTTAAACCAAGGAATTTTCTTTAAGAAAAAGTACACGGAAATTTTTGACCTCGGTTGCAGGTTTTTCCGTTGTTTTCAAGGAAATTAAGTTAATCTAAGGAAATTTTTTCTTTAGTAGTTCACCGGCATTTGCCTCAATAAGTTAGACAATTTTTCTTGTATTTCTTTAAGGTTAACATAGCGGTAGCTAGGGAGCCAGCAGACTGCCGCATCACGGACAGGCACGCCGACAGGCTCTTCAATAAGTCGGCGAGCTGGGCTGCTCTTGGGGGGGCTAAATAATGCGGCTTACCGAGAGCAGAGCAGAGCAGGCGGGCTGGAGGGGGGAAACGCCTAATCAGGCATTCCGAACAGTGCGCTTGCGGTACGCCCGGATAGCGCTTCAAGACGGCTGACCATGAGCGTCCTCGTAGGGGGGGGGGGGGGGGGAGGGGGGGGGAGATTATACCGTCAGGTGCGGGCTGCTGCCCGCCTGACCCTCCAGAGCACCACCCTGCTGCTGTATAGCGCTGGGCTGAGCAAAAGGGTGGGGGGGGGGGGGGGGGTGCAGCAGGCTCACCTCTACCGCACCGCCAGCTGCAGCTACTGTTGCTATGGGCAAGCCACGTCGGACACTCCTTGAAGGAGGCTTGGTGCATCAGGCTCACCGCTCACCTGTACTGTACAGCCCCGCCAGCTGCAGCAGCTGCTGGGCGAGGCGCGTAGGGCACTCTTTGACGGAGGCGCGGCGCCGCAGGCTCACCTCTACTGCGCTGTCTGCTGCAGCTGCAGCTGCTGCAGCTGCTGCTGGTGCGCCAGGCGCGTGGGGCACTCCTTGGAGGAGGCGCGGTGCTGGCCGAGGCAGTTGGAGCACTGCGTGTGCGTGGCGACGCACTCCTTGTGCGTGTGCCCGAGGCGGCCGCACACGAGGCAGGTGGTGTCGCCGTCGCAGTCCTTGGCCTCGTGCCCGAAGCGCTGGCAGTTGTAGCACTGCCACACCCGGCGCCTTCGCCTCGACGGCCCGCCCCCGGCGCCGCCCCCGCTTTGGGCTGCACGGCATTCAGATACATTTAGAGCGATTATACATCGATCCCCTCGAACATCGACTGGATGCATCTCATCCTCATCTCGTTATCAAATGTATCACAATTTCGAAAAAACAATGAAGAACGATAAGGCACAACACAATGTGTAAATGAAAAAGTATCGAGCCCATCGTAGATATCGATACATAGCATTATCAACCATTAATATCGAGATATCGCAACAGCCCTACCTCCACCGCCGGCCACGGAGCCGCCCCCCACGGAGGAAGCGGGCGACGACGGCGTGGTGGGCGCGGCGAGCTGCTGCTGCGGCGGCGGCAGCTGGTAGTACTCGGCGGGGTACGGGTAGTGGTGGTACCCCATCATGTCCTCCACCAGGTACCTGGAGGCAGAATGTGCGTCCCAACGCATGCATAAAGCGCCGCGCTAGCACTCACTCACTCTCGCCGCAGAAGCGCCATATTATGGCGCAACTCCCGCGGGCTGGCCGAGAACGCTTTTTACGCAGTTACAATTATTCGCCTTTGATCCATCTAATCTAGGCTATAGCCCCAGCCCAGCCTGTTCCCCCTATGCGAGGCTCCCAACCTTTAACGACCCAGTTCTTTCTATCAGCGCCCGGGAGCGGCCGGCGAGCACGGGGAGGACGGCCCGGGCGCGGCAAACAAGGGCGGCCTGTATTAGTATGCGTTGGGCCCGCCTGCTGCTGCCCGCCCAGCCCTCAACCGAGTTTCACGACGACGTAGAGCTTGCCTAAGACAACCCCCTCACCTCCTCCCCCATCCCCCTCGGGACCACGACATGTCAAGGTGAACGACGCGCTCATCGTCGGGTCGAGCCCCGTCCCCCCAGGGGGCGGACCCCCTACCTCACCGCTGGGGGCGGGGCGTGGTGAGGAGGGGAAACCACACACGGTGCGGACAGGGCGGCGGCCAGGAGCCCCCAGGGCAGCGTGGGGTGGTAAACGGTTACCGATATTATGACACAAGGGGGAAATTGAAAAGCAAATATTCGAGGGAGGCGTAAGGGGGTTGGGGGCTGATAGGGGACTGGGGGGTAAGGGAGGTGGGGGCGGCAGGATAGCGCACACTGCCCACACTTTCGGATCTAAGGCCACCCCTGCTAGTTGCCTCGTGCCGCCGATACCGACAGACTTACGCTCCTTGCGGCATCTCCTGGTACAGCTGCTGCTGCTCCAGGTGCTGCTGCTCGAGGTGCTGTTGCTCCAGGTGCTGCTGCTGCAGCTGATGCTGCTCCAGTTGCTGCTGCTCCACTTGCAGCTGCTCGAGCCGCAGCTGCTCCAGGTGCTCCTGCTCCAGGCGGGCCAACTTGTCCCTGAGCTCGGCGATGGTCTCAGCGGCAGCGCGCTCCGTCTCCTCCAGCTCCCACACCGTGCCCTGTTGTAGAGTGGAGGACGTTCCATGAGGCTTGGTTTAAGGTTCGGCTGATATCTGGACTGCCAGAGTACCGCGTGTCAGCGCTACGACCCCGCAGTATGTTGCGGGTTTGCCTTCCATAGCATTGGGACCATGGCGCAGTACGGCTGGAGGAGCGGGCAGGCAAACCCGAATACTGCTGGGCCGTTGCCCCCTAACCGCCGCTCACACGGCGCACAGTCCGTTTTCCTCACATATTCTGTCGGCCAACGACGGGAGTTAGGCGCCTGCGAAACTGCGGGTAGGCCAACCCGCAGCACACGCATGCACTGCACGCAAGGTGTTGCCTACCTGCCAGGCGCTGAGAGCACTACTTGCATTGGCTGAACCGGGCTGAACTAAACGTTTCGCGCTTCCGTATGACGGCGAATGATGGAGACATGGACTTTCTGGGGTCCATCCATATCGTGCTCAATCTGAGACCTGTCTCTCCTCTTACTCTTTAATTGTCACCACCAGGGCCCGGCTCCAAATGGGCCGTTTTTTTTTTGGTGACTTGGTCCTAAAGGCTTGTGCTTGCAAAGTCGAGAGAGAGGGAGAGAGAGACAGACAAAGACAGAGACAGAGACAGAGGGGGGGGGGAGAGGGAGGGAGAGGGAGGGAGAGAGAGAGAGAGAAGACAGAGAAGAGAGAGAGGGGGTGGGGGGGGAGGAGAAATCGACGAACCGGCAAAAGCGCCAAGCACCATGGGTCAGAGGACACGCTCACGTTAATCGACCTTAATTAAAGTGAAAATGGCGAGGCAATCAGGAGCCGGCACCCGGGCTGGCACGGACCAGGGCCGCCCGGCGGGCCTCCTGCGTGCTCGCTCGCTCTGGCGGGGCGGGGCGGGGCGGCGCGGGCGGGCGGGGCAGCCTGTCTGCCTGACGCACACTTGCAATCTGTCCCCCGCAGGGAGGACAGAGATATGGGGTGGGGCCCCCGGGGGCCCGGGGGGCCGGGCGGCACACCCTGGCACGTGCCTGCAGCCGGAGGTGCTCCATCTTGTAGCTGTCCAGGTCGGCGAGCAGCTGCCCGTTGCGCTCCTCCAGGCGCGCCATCTCCCTGCGCAGCGCCAGCACGGCCGCCTGCGCGTCGCGCTCCGCGTGCGCCAGCGCCGCCAGCTCCGCGGTCAGCTCGGCCAGCCGCGCGCTGCAAACGGTCAGCAAGGTCAGCAGGGTCCGAGAGGGGTCAGCTGGTCAGCAGCGCCTGCACGACCACCGCCGCCGCCTGCGAGTTGTGCCAGCGCCGCCAGCACCGCGACGAGCGCTGGTCAGCAACGGTCAGGAAGTTTCAAAGGGGTCCGCAGCGGCCATAATGTCAGCGGTCAGCAGTGCTCAGTCGAGGCCAAGTCAGAGAAAATTAGCGACAGCCTGTAAAAAATAAAAAATAGAAAAGTTTGCTGGGTCAAAGTCGGTAGAGCCGTGTCTGTATTATTAGTCTCACGCGGTTGCTCGATTCGACGAGTCGAATCACCGGTCGACCTAATCACACTGTGCCATTAGGAGTACTGCCACGGGGTAAAGGGG